GAGTGTATAAGGGCTGGGGATAGCAAGTGATGGACAGGAGAATAGAGTGGGCGGGGCTTCAAGGAAGGGGCGGGGCAGTAGATCTTCGCCTGTTCTGAGACTTAAAAAGTGTTCTTGGGTTTAAAAAGGTTGGAGACCACTGATCTAGACGGTGCTTGATTCTGCTGTAAGGGCAGGGTACTGGACTTGATGATCTCTTGCAGTCCTTTCCAGTTCTAGTATTTTATGATTCTATGACTAGAGGCATTCATTCATTTTATGAAACGGTAAGTATATGTGTAGCATGTTTGTAATGAAATGTAATTGTAACTATTATTTTTAAGTGATAAATTTAGAATTTTATTAATTTTAAAGGGATAAATAATCTAATTTAAATAAATTATCTGATTTTTTTTTTAATAATTGAATTTTATCCATCATGTTCTCTCCAGAATAAGAGTATCTGCATGTGGAGAAAATAAGGAATAGTTAATTTGACTTAAGTTTATATTGTCTTATTCTGGATTAATTTTCATGTGTAAGTAAGCCCTTATAGTTTGAAAAAATGTGTAGTCTTGGAATATTAAAGAAGTGGCAAATGGAAATGAGTTGACTTTTTATGGAGAAACTTAACAATTAAGAATTGCTGTTTATGTTGACCTCTTTATTGTTGTAGATATAGTGATCACTTCTTCTTTTCATAGCAGTCTAGATTTGTCTGAATTGGCAAAAGCAGCTAAGAAGAAGCTTCAGTCTGTAAGTAAAACTTCTACTTAACCTCTGCTATGTCATGTCTAACTAATAACATGGCAAACTTCTGTACTTTATCTCCCCAGTTATTACTGACTTCATAATGCAGCATGCTTTTCATTGGTTCTGGCATATACAAATATCACTTCCATGCTAACTGATACATTCAAAGGGAAACCTGGAAGGAGAGTGAAAAGGCAAAGAGGGGGAAATTTTTAAAAATGCAGTATTTACTGGTGGATAGGAGACTAAGTTTAATTGTGCCTTGTTTAGAAAAGGCTGCAAGGGAAGATCTCTGTGATTCTACCTCTCATTGATAATGTTATCTCAAACTAATTATCTTTAATTGTATATTATTTCCTGTCATCATGGGTTCCATATGTGCACTGGATGCTCAAATATTATTTTATTTGCCTGTAACTTTTTAAAAAGTAAGAATAGCTGCATTAGTGTTTGCCTGGTGCAGTTGCCTTTAATACTAGCTTATCTAGTATAGGTATGTAATAGTGTAGTTGGTTAACCAATTAACTGATAAGCTAAAGCTTATTGGTTAATGCTATAGACTACATGCATTTCTCCCCTCCTTCCCCTTTGTCATTACATTTTTTAGCAGGCTGGCCAGCATTCCGGCTGAATCCTGATTTGCAACGGGTGCAGGACCTAACCCCTGCTGCATCTCTGCATTTAAAGTGTAGTAGAAACCGGGCAGGCAGGCAGCCCAGCTCAGTTCTGACTTGTGCCGGGTCTAGGAGCTCAGACTCTACCCCTAGACAGGAGCTGTTGCCACTCCATACTGCTGCCTCTTTATCAGAGGCAACATCACAGGGTGACAGGCAGCCGATCTGCAAGGGAAGCTGGTTTTTAAACTGGCTCCCAGTGCACACCAGCTCCTGCCTGGCACTCTGCGCTGCTGCCGCTGATACAGAGGCAGCAGCAACCAGGGGCAGGGGGGGGCCCTGGGGCACTGGCTGCTCGCCCCACCCCCAGGGACTATAGAATAGTCAACTAACAAATAAGAATTCATGAGGTTACTCAACTGTTCAATTAACAGATATTTAACATCCCTAATCTAGTATCTTTAAAATACTGCCCAAACCAAATTCTTGCGTAAGACAAGTCGATAATATATTTCACCTGGTCCTAATACCATCCATGTTCTCTCTAAAGAGAGAATTTTCAATTATTTTAGTCTGACTTCTATGCAGGGGATGAAAGATTAGTAAACTGGGGAAGAATAACTTTTGTAGCATCCTTTTATGCAGTAATATGGTGTTTCCTGCAAATATTATCGTGATGGCAGTGAAACTTTTCATTAAATTGGGCGGTAAGTCTGGAGAAAAAAATTCAGTATAGGAAAACAAGAATTTCAGCTGAACACAAATCCTCCAAAATTGAACCCTATCTCCACCAAAAACCCACTCTGTTAGCAGGTATTACAACCCTGTAAGTCCATGGTGTCCAACACACATGCCACATGTGGCTATTTGGCTGTTTGAGTGTAGCTAGCTGGCTTGAATAATTAAAGTAGCTATTGCTTCAGAACTGGTTGGACACCACGGCTGTAAGTAGATGTACTCTTGATACCTTACTGTAGCTGCTGTTAACTTCACCCTGGACATAAAGGTTGGGAGTTTCTCTGGCTAGAGAAAGTTTTGGGCCAAACAGCCCTGGGGACAGTGCTGGGAGCTGCCATACCTGGAAGAGGTGGGTGATTTGGGCAGTGATTTATTACTTTTTTTGTAAATGAAATCAGATCCCAGGAAAGATGTTAAGTTATCCCTGCCTATTTGTCTTATATTGAGGACGGGAAGTAGGGCTGCATTCAGTCATGCACTTTTACAGTTTTTAATTTGCAGTTTATATTACTGGCCATTGTGAAAATCCCAGGGTCTCCTACCTGAATAAAACTACAGGTTGGAGGGTGCCAGACCATGAGGGTCCAGACCTGACTGGTCCTGGACAAAGGAGTTTGATGCTCCCCCCCCCTTCCCCAGACCTCTCTTGGTCTGGCAGTCTCCCTGCTGGGCTCCTCTTCCTAGCTACCCGGCACTGCTGGCTCTGTTCCCCTGGCTGTAGCAACCCTGAGAGCTCCTGCAGCTCACCAGCTTTATTGCCCGATGAGTCCTGGGAGCTCCAGCAGCCCTGCTGGTTTTGTAACTCTGGGAACTCCGGCAGCCTTGCCCTGCTTGGCTGTGAGCTCCGCAGCCCTACAGGTTCTGCTGCCCCACTGGTCCCGCCACCCAGCTCTGCTCCACGCCGCTGGCAGTCTCTGCCCCTGGAATGTTGCCAGACCAGAGTGTCGTGGACCACAGAGGTTCAACCTGTACTGGTATAACCCTGACATTTTGGTTTATATAATTGTTGCTCTCTCAGCAAGTTCCTCATTCCTAATATAAGCATCTCTCTTGAACTGTTCATGTTAGGAATAAATTCTTGAACAAATCATCGCTACATAAGCCTGCTCTGCTCACTTAATCATAGAAATACCTCCTTTTCTCCTCCCCTAGGATATTATTGGAGGGGCAGGGACTCTTAAAAGGTCGGAGGGGGAAGTCAGTTTTTTTATCTGTACTGACCAGTTGTAGAACAGGATTGATCTGTTTAGATCCAGCACTGGCCCTGCTTTGGAGATTGAATACCAAAGATTCACTATATAGCTGTTAACCAATTCATTCTTCCTGGACTGCAAAAGTACCAGATTACCTCTGGAGTACAGACATGCAACCTGCTTTCTGCAGCATAAGAGATTTGGTGGGGGGAGCTAATTTCTTGTTACCTAATCCTTAATCACTTCTTCTCATATTTTCAGTTAAGTAACCATTTGTTTGAAGAACTTGCCATGGACGTATATGATGAAGTTGACAGGAGGGAAACAGATGCAGGTAAATGATGCTTTTTGGAATATACTTGTAGTTAAAACTTGAAATGCAGTATTACGCATAACTTGTTAATTCAACTAACTGGTGTGGGCAGAGTAATTTTTATGTTGAGGAATTGATTGGCACATAGATTCTACTACATAGAATGAGTGTTCAGTTTTATTTTGGGTTATAAAATATGTTTTCCTAATTATTTTGCTGAGTGAAGAATTCTCAGAAAAAGCAGTTGCTTTGACTTTGGTTATCTTTAGTGTTGAAATGGTAATCTCTTGAGCTAGTTTAATGAGTAGATTGTTCATAAAGTTGCTCTGTCTCTGTCTCTATTTTTTCTAAATAGTTTGGCTTGCTACTCAGAACCACAGTACACTGGTAACTGAGACAACACTTGTCCCTTTTCTTCCTGTAAATCCTGAATATTCCTCAACACGGAATCAGGTAAGTTATCTTGTTTGTGAGTGTTACAAAAGCATTTTATTAACATAAAGAGTTCAGATTTTTTTTTTACGTTATTAAACTGAGGGGAAAGGGACACTTCATTTGAAGTGTGCTCCATTTAGGAAATTAAAAGAATTTCATATTATATGTGTCCCAGTTCTTTAGTTTTACAATTATATTTTCCTAATTTTAAAAGAAGTATTCCTCTGCCTTATTTGAATCTTTCATAAAGCAGGGAAAACAATAATCAATGTATCGTAAAGGGAGAATGATGAAACTGAAACAAAAAGTAGGGGAAAATAGAGGCACTGTTTCCCTAATCTTTCTATTACAATATCAGTGTACTTTAAGAAACTCAGTATATTCATGTTTAATACAAAAAGTTCACTATTGTAAACACCTTTGTATTGCTAGTAGGTAGTCTTTGTATGCAATTTTTTTATAAAAATGAATGTTTGCAGGGTATTTTTAAAACCCTGAGAATGGGGTTATAATATAAACACACAGATTTGTTTATGGTTCATAAACAGTGTTGCTATGCATTTGTTTTGTCGTGAAATTGCTATGCACTCTGTATAACTCTTTGTATCATCTTCTATATTTTAGGGAAGACAGAAACTAGCTCGGTTTAATGCCCATGAATTTGCTACACTAGTTATAGATATTCTGAGTGATGCCAAAAAAAGACAGCAAGGGAATCCTGTCACTGGCTCTAAAGGTGAATATATTTTTGACTAATTATCTGACCTTCTGTATTTGAATTGGTATACTTGTAATTTCAGTGACAACATTATGAAGTACCTCGTGTGGCTTGATCACTTTTTGAAATGAATAAACATATTAAAGTCATCACTATAAAACAATGTGTGTATGATCTGATGGATGAAAAGAGGCCATTAGTGTTTGCTGATGACAGCACATTTGAGATCAAGAGTAATGTTTAATTATAGAAAATTTGAATATTAATGGTGATATTTCTTACAAAGTGGACTTGAAATATGCACATAATCCAGAAGTGTTCTTTCTGATGGAATAGAAGAGCAGACAGAGGCATTTCCAAAGTGGCTTTCTAAATCTTTGTAGAGCAGAAGTTCTGCAACTATCTAACATTTATGACTAGTAATCAGGAAAGTGCTAGTGTTCTAGGGGATATAGACTCTTATCTAAACTGGGGACTCTGCTGTGCTTGCAAACTTGCTAAGTGTTAGGTTTCCTGCACAGGCTCACTTTTTATGCCATTTGAACATATCTGTAGAATTCACTCATGTCAAGGAATACAAATAATTAAAACGGCAATCAAAAAGTAAGGACACAGCTGTAGTTCCAATACTAGAGATATGAAACAAATAATTAAATACAATAATACCTCTCTCAAGAGATATCTAAAGATCTTATCTTATTATTCAATTTCCTTGTATTGTCCATCTGAATAATGAAGTGTATGTGCTGGCAATTTTATTATATTTTGTATTTCACTGTATGAAAAGTGTTAAATAGGCTGGTAAAAATTAATTCACCTTAGTTACTTAAAGTTTCCTAATACTTTAATGGGATCAAAGAAATAAAATTGGAGACTACATACTAGCTTTCATTGTAGATTTGGCTGTTCTTGGCTGATATAATCCAGTCACTCTAGATGGTGCTATCAGAATATTTTTTTTCTATTAGAAAGGAGATTTTTTTTTTTGTCCTAACATTTCTTTTCATATGTTCTTTTGGTCTGATTGATGTTCTCTTCTGATATTAATTAATAAACTAAATCAATTTTGCATACAAATCCTAAATTTAACTCATTTTTGTTACAGACAATGTGGAACTGATTTTGAAAGCTATCACCAGCCAGCATAGTAGTGAGAGTCAAGATAATGACCAGCCAGATTATGACAGTGTTGCGTCCGATGAAGATATAGACCTGGAAGCAAATGCAGCAAGAGCAAACAGAAAGAAGGTAGGTTTATTAAACTCCTTTCTAGCAAATACTTATGTACGTGCTTCCATTGAAATCAGTTGATGAACTCATGTAGTGAAGTTAAACACATGTGCAAGTGTTCCTGGGATTAGGCACTCAGTGATTATTTCAACTCTGTCACAGCTGCTTCCTACATTATAAATCACTATGCAGGATCAGAAATATAACTTTAAACATTTGTAACTAAAGTATTAATAAAACATTTATAAAAAATGAGCACCACAGAGAATTTATTTTATTTGGAGACAAACTATGGACCCAGTTGCACAAATACAAAAGCACTAGGGCAGTTTATGTTATTATGTCACTTGATTCCTTTCATCAGAATATCTCAGAATATTTTTCATTAAGTTTCTTCTACTTATCAATGAAATAACAAATACAGGTCGATAAATGAATGCTGAGAAGTGAAATAATTCCTGAAAATAATGCAATAGGGTAGAGAACAGGGAATTGAATGTAAGAATCCTGGCTCTGTCATTTGCTCTAACCCATAAATTAATGTGACTACTAAGGACCAGAATATCAAATACTTGTTCATGCTCACTTACAAAAATCTTTATTAAACACCATCCATTTTTTGATTGAAATTACAAGGCTAATATTATTGGATATAATGAACTAAGAATTCATTGAAACCATATTTCTTCTGAGATGATCTGTAGCTTCAGTTGTATAAAGAGTGCTATTAGTTTGTTAATTTCCTCAGTAACTTATGTAAAGAAGTGTGGTGTTTGTTTATTTTATTTGTAGAGCCTGGATTCAGACTTGTCAGATGGATCAATCACAGCCCAAGAATATATGCAAGTTAAAAATGCTTTGGTGGCTTCTGAGGTAAAGATACAGCAGTTAATGAAAGTGAACATCAACTTGAGTGATGAACTGAGAATCATGCAGAAAAAGGTAACAAGTATAGTAACTTAAGCAAAATTAAAATCCTATAGCCAACTGGGTTTATTTTTATGTAAATACAAGATAAAGGACCATGTGTGAAGACCAGTTAAACTATTTTGACAAGTCAGAACTAGTTTGGAGTTGATGTGATGAAAATGAATGTCCACGAAGTGTAAACTCTTAATGTTTTATTTCTTGTGAAAGGTGTTATTGGGAACTTTGTAGTTCAACCTCATTGATATTTCCTCATTTCTAAATCATTTATTTTAGAAACCCCTTATTTAGTTCCATTGTCTTGTTTCCAAATGAGCAATTGTTTGAGGCTTTGGAAACCGCTCCTAGCAGAAAGTGTACCTTCTGCTTTTTGTTGGGTTTTTTTTATTCCAATAATAATAATGGCTAAATGAAATGGCTCTCCAAGTTGGAAGGAGAAGAGAAATTTAAAAATACCATGGCCTCAATATTTTTGTATAAAGCAGTCACAGTTGTTTTCCTGTCCCCATTTTAGATCTGAGGAAGTATAATTCACAATGGATTGTGGATCAAAGGGAACTTAAGTACAAATCTGCCATCTCTATGTTTAGTAGAACAGCTCTTTTAAAACTTCAACACTGGCTTTGGTTGATGAGGATAAAAGGTGTAGTGTTTAGAACATGTTAAGTTATGTGCTTGTATGCTTTTTAAAAGTCTGTCTTGCTAGCAAGACTACTTTAGTATATGTTAAAAGTATACCTATGTCAAGGTAGTCAGGCTACCAAACCTTCAAATCCTAATATAGATGTCAGCACTGTGTCCCTACAAGCCAGTAACAAATATAATACATCACATGCTTGCAAATTAGTTGTCTTAGAACTAGTTATTGCTTGCATGCTAAGGTATCTTCTAGGCTTTCAGAAAACAAGACAGCTTTAATGGATGATCATCACTAGAGTGACTGGAAGCGAAGGTGCAAAAAATTCATTGCTGGAGAAGAAAATAGAATTGCTGAAAATTTTTAAGACCGACAAGATCAGGGGTTCTCAAACTTCATTGCACCATGACTCCCTTCTGACAACAGAAATTACTACATGACCCCAGGAGAGCCTGAGTTCACCTAAGCCCCACTGTTCTGTGCTGGGTGTGTGTGTGTGGGGAGGGGGGCAAATGCAAGGATTTGAGCCTCAGGTTGGGGGCCTATCCAACCCAGGCAGTGGGGCTTGGACTTGGGACTTCAGTCCTAAGCCACAGCAAGTCTAACACCAGCCATGGTGTCACCTTTAAAATATAGTCATGACTAGGCATGTAAAATCCTGTTTAATTTAGATAACCAGTTAAACATGATGTTTAACCAGTTAACTGATCAAATAGTGAGGTGGGAAGTCTGTGCCTGGACTGGAGCAGCCCCTACGGGTTAACTGTAACTGGTAAGCCTCACCCATCAAGTATGTAATGAGTTAACCCTTCACATCCCTAATCACAACCCACTTTCGAGTCCTGACCTACAGTTTTGAGCCCTGCTGCACTAGATTGTCATGGTGGATTCTCTATAGGGTATCAGTTACCGATACTAAAAAGTTACTAGGATTCTATAATTTAACTAGGTTCAGCCAAAATTCAGATAGGTATGAGGTAGGATCCAGTACGCAAAACATAGCTGTGTTCTTTTTAGTGGGTCAGTGTACATGTGAATTTCTTATCAAAACCTGTCACTGATTGCTTAGTCTCAGTGTATGTGTGTATACATCATGATTAACCGGTTAACTAATTAAACAGTATTTTACATGTATGCACTGACAGAAAGCATTTAGGTACAGGCTTTATATATATGTGATCTGCACTGCCCCTTATCCTGTATATGTTTGCCATGCTCTCTGGGGAAAATCCTGTCTTCTTTATCAGGAAGGGATTCCATTAATTGACATAACCAGTTCCCCTTGAAGTTGTGCAGTTTTAGAAACAGCATGTAAATTGTAACTACAATATTCTATAATTAAGAGAAAATCAGCCAAGAGATCCTGTCAAACTACTGTACTGGAGATAACTTTTGTAAGGTACCTCAAGTTATATTAATGAGGACTGGGAAGATTGTCCTCCCTGTTTTTTCTAGGGTCCTGAATGATGCCACTGTGCAGTGCTGCATCTTTCAAGGGCCTGAAGTGTTTGTGGCCTCTCCGACAGTGTAATTTGTGGCTTGAAAATATCTTCAGCTTTATCCCTAACCTGATAAACTGAGTAATTGGGAGATTTCAAATATAACTGTCCAGGTTGCTCTCTCCCAAGGCAGGTAACAGAAGATGCAGAACATATCTGTGTACCTTAAGAGGGTAGTTGTATGTATGTGTTTGCTTTTGAGACCTCTGTTGGAACCCAACATTTGTAGAGGACTGTAAGTATAGTATATTTAGTATATTGATGCAGCATAGTGGGAGGACCCAGACCCAGAGCCAGATACTCCTTTGTAGCAGAACTTGTCCTGATGCAGGACATAGCGTCAAAGAACCAGTGATGAGGATCCAGTGATATGTAGAACAGTGATGGGGTTGTTCTAACTTATGTCACTGGCATAGGGTCCTTAGTGACTCCTGAACCAATGACAGCTAAGTGCAGCAAAGCTCATAAGAGCCACACTGGGGAAGACCAAACATCCATCTAGTCTGGTATTCTGTTTTCCGACTGTGGCCAATGTCAGCTGTCCCAGAGGGAATGAAGAGATAATCATGGTCACCCATTCCCCAGCGTCTGACAAACAGAGGTTAGGGATGCCACCTCCACCGTACCCTCAACTCTAAGGGGAAGGGGGAAGAGATGGCATAGTACCTAGCTGCAGTAGCTTTAGGCAACAAGAAGTTGCCCTATGATATTGGAGTTTTCTGCTGGCCATTTGTGGTCAGAATCACAGGCCACATCTATACTTACCCACAGAACAATGCTCCAGAGATTGATCTGATGTTCAGTTTAGAGGGTCTTACTTATCTACTAGAAACTCTAAGGGGAAGGGGGAAGAGATGGCATAGTACCTAGCTGCAGTAGCTTTAGGCAACAAGAAGTTGCCCTATGATATTGGAGTTTTCTGCTGGCCATTTGTGGTCAGAATCACAGGCCACATCTATACTTACCCACAGAACAATGCTCCAGAGATTGATCTGATGTTCAGTTTAGAGGGTCTTACTTATCTACTAGATTGAACGCTGAGGGTGACCCTGTCAGAGCCTGTACTCCTGCCCCTCGCAAAGAGCAAGGGAAGTTGATGGGAGATTTTCTCTCATTGACCTCCCAGTGTGGGCACAGTGCCAAAATTCAGATCAAGGTACATTGACTCCAGCTATGCAATTAACATAGCTGGAGTTGTGTATCTTAATTTGAACATATCCCCTGGTATAGATTTTGCCCAAATGCTTTGCAGCACCTGAGTGGAGCCAGACCTTATTTTAGAATATGACCCTTTAGTCTCTTAATTGGCATAGCTTTATTTGATTTTTAGGCAAGATTAAATATGTAAGCTAAAAGTTATCTGTCCTGTATTGTCTTGTAGCATTAGATGTATCTGAGCTTTCACACTTGAATTATTTGAAAAAAATGCTAATTAAAGATGACGCTTTATTGACTGTATGTCACTTATGGAAGGGTTCTCTCTAGATCACATGAAAACCCTTATAAATGAATGGGTGTTATGAAAAATGGATGACTTTCTGACATGCATTTGTTTGTCATCTTAAATCTTAACAGTAGAGGAGAATTTGGACGGTGGTGGTGAATTGATCTGATATGAAATAGAAGAACAGCAGCGGATAGCTGAAATTATACTGTACCAGGTTTATAAAATATGTGGTGGAAAATAAAGAGAAAAAGAGAGTGTGCAGCGTGGACCTGCTTGATTTTATTAAAATGTCAGATTTTTAAGAAGTAATATTGCTCTTTGACGATCCTTAAATCTTAACACACAATACATGGTATGAAAGATTGCACAGTTGGGAAAGCCAGTATTTAAAATGGAAATCAGGATGCCAATCAGAATCTTCACTAACGAGTTCTGAACAGTGTCAGACCCACTACCTAGCATTGACTAGCTTATTTGAAGGTTTACATGACACAAGGCAAAATGCAAGTAAACACTGAATATTGTGACTCCTAATTGAAAGTCCATCAGCTGTCTGAAACAGTATTCTCCATATATTTGAAAAGATATACATAATAATTAAATATTTGCAGTTTTCTTCATGATGTGTTAATATAGCAAACTTATTCTGAGGCTTTCTTGTATAACAACATTTAAATTGCTACCTTTTTTCACCTACCCACTGATGTTCTTTGTAGGCTGTGCACTTGCATGGCTACCCAGGAGAGATTCAGGTAGGGCCCAGCTGGTTAGTTGAGTGCCCAGAGCTGGCAGCGTGTGTGTGTGTGTTTTTACTGAGTCGGTACACATAACACAAACAGTACAGAGTAGCCATAGCTGCAGGAGATCAAAAGGTAGCCAGAGAAACTCCTGTGAAGAGAGAGAGCCTGAAGCAGCAGGAAAACTCTGTCTGTGACCTGGGTGGTAGAAGAGGAACTGAGGGGTGGGGGTCGGGCCGCACTCAGCTGTCAAACTGTCAGCAGCACGAGATGCTTGCTGCGCATGCACGGCCTGACTGCTAACTCCTATGGAAAAAGTCTCCGATCCTGCGGCTCCAGCCAGAGAAACTCCTGTGAAGAGAGAGAGCCTGAAGCAGCAGGAAAACTCTGTCTGTGACCTGGGTGGTAGAAGAGGAACTGAGGGGTGGGGGTCGGGCCGCACTCAGCTGTCAAACTGTCAGCAGCACGAGATGCTTGCTGCGCATGCACGGCCTGACTGCTAACTCCTATGGAAAAAGTCTCCGATCCTGCGGCTCCGGGGATGACCTGTCACCTTACGTGGAGCACCCACAGGAACATCACCCAAAAAAGAACAAAACTTATTCTGTACATGGATGGAAAAAATTGGAAGGGACATTGCTGCCCACAGATTTTAATAATAATCTTGTTGGCTTCTTAGAAAGAAGTAGCTGGTATCCTATTTTTGTATTCTTAACTCCACTGTCCTCTTGCTTTGCAAAGCAAACTGTAGTTTTCTTTTTGCTGTATCTGTGCTATAATTTTATCATTTGCATATTCACAGCTTTATTTAAGTCATCTGTATGTTACTATAGTGACCATTTCCTGAACCTGGAATGCTTTGCTCGAAAAGAATTTATTTTTCTATTCAAACAACCTTCATGGTAATGGAAAATATATGTACAAGTACGCTAGCCTGGAAATAGATCTTATGCTTTTAATTGCAAAGGCCAAATTTAAAAACCAATTTGACTTGCATCAACTAAAATAATCATGTTAAAGCTGACACTAATAAATCTACCAGACCTATAATAAAACATTTTTGTCTCATAGAGTGAGCAAGTGAAATAAATTTTGAGAGAGAATTCCATTTAATAATAATAAATCCAGCAATATCTAGCTGGATTTTTTTTCTTATGGTGACAAACATGTATTTGTATACTCAATTTGCTTGTTTTAGAAAAACAAAGTCCCACTGCTAAACATTTCTTTCAGCTTCAAACACTACAGAGTGAAAATACGAACCTCAGAAGACAGGCCACAACCAATATATATCAGGTCCAAACTGGTTCTGAATACACAGACCCCAACAATCATTCTTCTTTAAAGCGCCGACCATCTGCACGAGGTAGCAGACCTATGTCCATGTACGAGACTGGATCGGGTCAGAAACCCTACCTCCCAATGGGAGAAGTCCCATATCCAGAAGAGAGCATAACAAGACTGCAGCCTTTCCCTCCACATGTAAGTAAAACTGCTAACGCTTCTGCTCTTCTTTGTATGTTCAGCTTTTTCTATTGAAACTCTGCTTGTTTACCTGATTTACCAGAATCTCTAGACTGCTTCATGGTAAAGTGAAACAGTAAGAACTCTCACTGTTTCTTGAAGTGATTACTCATGTCCATTCAACAGTAGATATACCTTAGCAGTAACCTTAGGGGAGTGCCTCTAGTGACCCCTGGAGTGGTACCTCCATGGCATGTTATAAGGGGCAATGCGTACTCCCCTTGCACCTGCCCCTACCCTCGCCATGCTCCATTACTTCTTGCCTCCAGTGGCGCACTGCTGGAACACTTTCTGCTGTAGCTAATGCTGTCTTCATTCTTTCAGAACTTTCTGTTTTTAGTTAGTTTCCCATTAAAAGTAGTACTACCAAATAACCGACATTCTGCTGCAAGTTGAGATTCTTTAGTTTTCAAATCTCATGCAATAAGCAACCCTCATAGGAGCTGTTTGTACTGCCTGGGAAGGACCATATGAATGAAAAATGCTAGTGGGACGTTCATCTAAAAGCAATCATTATGGAGTTGGTTCTTGCCCTGACACCAAGCACCATAATGTTGGTGTGTAGTTTGCCAGCTTTGACAAGACGTCATCACTGGCCATCCACGGCCCACCTGAAAAAGACAGGAAGACACCAAAGGATCAGTCTCTGCCCTCTTGCATACAGAGGGGCACATCTGGGAGTGAGCAATATCCCATGTTCGGCAGCTCTCTATCCCCCTTGGATAGCTCAGGTGAAGCAGAGCAATCCTGTACACATTGCCCTGGCCTCCCCACAGGATAGAGTAGATGGTAGTCAGTTCCAGGTGCCACCCACACTGTAGGTCTTGCAGGAGGCACAGGACATCATGCCAACCTTGGTGCCGTCCTGTCAGTCTCTGGTGGCATCCCTCGCACAGGGTAAGCCTCCCCTTGGACCATCACAGTCCTTGCCTTGCTAGCACCGGGCCCAGTTGAAGGAGATTTTGAGACAACTCATCCCTCCAAGCAGCCACCACGAATTGGGCTGACACAGTCAAAAGTAGGTTGCCTGCAACTTGTATCTGAAAGCAGTAGAGTTGGGAGGAGCTCTCAGACTTGCACTTCAACATCTTTTCCCCTGGGATACCAGCTAGAATGGCACTGCCCATTCCTGTAGGGGTGGTCAGAATTATTAGTGTGCTTTGACAAATCCCATCTTCTTTTCCCCCTATTTTGAAGAGGGCAAAGGGGAATATTATGTACCTTTCAGAGACCATAAATACCTATATATACTCACCTGTCTCCAACTCACTTATATTGGAAGCAGTGAACCACAGATATAGTGCCAAGAGGGCACTACCCCCAAAAATAAAGACTCCAGGAGATGGGATTTATTTGAGCAAAAAGTTTATTTCTCCACCAGCTTACAACTGAGGGTGGTGAACCACCAGGCCCTCTTGGGCTGGTAGGAGATTAACCTTTGGCATAACATGGCCATGTTTGAGAACTCTCTCCAGGAAGAGACCAAGAAGGAATTCAAAGCACTCCTCGACAAAGGCATAACACCAGCTAGAGTGACCCTGCAGGCGGCAATGGATGCTGGGGACACAGACACCCAAACCATGGCATCTGCAATATCTATACACAGTGTGTAGTTATTGCTCCTCTCCAGCCTTTCCATTGAGGCCCAGAACTTGCTGAAAGATCTTTCCTTTGAGGGGCAAGGTCTATTTGCAGAACAAATAATAAATTCCATAGACTCAAGGACTGTCATATTACCTTGAAAACACAGTGCCTTTATGTCCCACCCCTGGAGCCAGGAGAGCCAGTCCTGTCAGGTAACCCCTCCCACGAAATATAGGGCCTTGCAAGAGGCACTCTTCCCAGCAATCCCGTCCCGTGCCCTCGCATGGCTTATCCAAAGGCGAGCATGCAGCCATTTTGGTGGAAATTGGCCTTTCTAGTCAAGTCTGCGGATCCAGGGCCCCCACTCAACCACACGCGT